CCACAGGCTGATGGGCTCCAAGGAATCAGCCTGTATTTGCCCAGTCCAGTTTGTATCAATGCTGGACCCGGGCGAGTATTTTTCCCCCTGAACTATTCGCATTAAACTTTATTTTTTTAAGGAAATTATGTCCACTTCACTGGAAGCACGTCAGCAGCCCCTAGCTGCTGGTGGTACTGCCTTCACATCTGTAATATCCTCTCTTCTCCCCAAATTCAAAAGGCTGTTCATAGTAGTAAGGAAAATGATGCATTATCCTGGAGGTGATGAGGAGAGGAGAGGGACAAGAAGGAAATATAATCCATGCTGCTGGAGTGATTAATCTGACTGTTCATGACGAAGGAAATGAAACTAGAAATCTGGGTAAGTACTGATCTTTCCAAGAGAATGACTTTCACAGGAACCACAATACAAACTCATGTGCTGACCTCCTTTAAATTATTGCTGAAGTTTTCAAAGCAAAGCAGGGATGGCACTGAAAATTTTGCTCTCTTGTTGATTCCCAGGAGCACAGAATTTCCAGCGACAGCAGGAAAGGGGTTCACTGCGAGATGCACGCATGCCATCACCTCTCTTTAAAATGTGAGATGCTTCAGTGATAGGTTTGAGTAAAAGAGCTTAAGAGGCACATGTAACACTGTCCTTTAAGCATGGTGAGCTGGAGAAGGGCTTCCCCTGCATACATCATCTTGCATATTGATATGCAGGCTGAGTGTGCTCAGAGGGAGGAACAAGACTAACAGGATTTTTGATGAAGGTAAGAGCCCAATATTGCAGCTTTGGAAAGATCAGTTATCCATCTGCCAGCCATCTATCTTTGGCTATGGTACTTACCTGGCCTCAGTTATTACAGTATGTAACCGCTTCACAACCACTAACATATTTATCTTTTCATCCTCCCTGTGGAGTTGGGAAGTGTTATTACCTCTCTTGCAGAACTAAGAACTGAGATTAAGGGTCAGATTTGTTATGGCATTTAGGTGCTCAATGGGATTTTCAAAAGTACCCAACACCCATTTTAATAAGTGGAACCTGGCTACTTTGATAGTTCTGAAAATCCTGTTATTTGTGTCTTTTCTTTTAAAATTTTGGGCTTACATGACACCCTGGGATCCGTAGGAGAGGTTCCCATGTTGTGGGGAGTCACCCAGACAGGAGACTGTCTCTTCATCCACCTACTAGGAGACTGTAGGTGGGACAGGAGCAATTTTATGGCAGTGGGAGGAAGTAGCTTATCTCGGTCCTGAATTCAGCAGGCTGTAACTCTGTGGATAGCTGTGAATTTACCCGCCTTGCACAGCTCTGTGAGAGAGGTCAGAATCCAGTCCTGGAAATACTGGACCAAAATAAGCAGCACCCATGGTCAATAAAAAGGGCTTATGTGCCAATTGCTGGGATGGAAAATTCAAGAGCAGGAGCAAATAATGAGACAATCTATATTCATGCAGCCGCCTTTCCAGCCTACTGCTGTAAGTATGGGCTTACACCTAACTGGGAGATGTGAATCCTACTGAAAGCTCCAGAGTATCACACTGGAAAACAAATGTTGATTTTGAACAAATTATCTGTTCATCGCTAAATCATTTTCTTTCATTATTAGTCTCCAAATTGGTTCTTCTCTGGAAGACAGAATTAGGTTTAAAAGCAGAGTGTCTCTTAAACACTTGCTTCAAATGAACGTATTCGGTAAACATTACTCAACCCCCCTAGAGCATAAACTCAACTGCTTTCTCTGGCTTTGCATAGATTTTTCAGCTCCTGGTTTAAAGACAGGTGTCTCAGGGATTCATTCAGGATATTGGAAAATAATCAAATTAAATCCCTTACAATCATATACCCCTCAAATGCCAAGGAAAATTTTATTAAGACCTTTCTGTCCTCGTTTACAGTAGCATAAATTGGGACAAAAGTCCCATGCAAACAGGTGGAGTTACACCAATATCAAACGTGTAAGAGAGAGAAGAGTCAGACTCCAAACCCACGGCACAAGTACAAAACCATGTGGGCTGCAAGCCCAAGTTCCTCATCGTTGGAAGAACTACGCTTTGCTGTTATAGTACTTACACTCATTTCCATAGTTTTAAGGTTCTAAAAAAAAAAAGCCCTGGGCTTCAAAATTGTATTTTTAACATTAAAGGGTTGGGTTTTTTGTTAATTCAGCATGTCAGCAACATTGCAGCTGTCTGAACTAGTGATTTAGGCTGACAGAGTGGGCGTCAGCTCAGCTAACTTTAGGAAACACACGTGGTACTGATGCAGGGAGCAGGGTGGGTTACAGAGCAGCAGCAAAGCCCCAGTGTTGTGTGCTTGTCCCATGTTACGCCATGGACTATTGGGAGATGCTCGAGAGGGTCATTTGCACCTCTATGAGGCAAGAAGCTCTGTAGAGATTAGGATGTGTCCAATTGCATGGGTTTTCATCAGTGTTTGTAAGATGCTGTTGTCCTGCCTCTACGTTTTCATTGGGTGGAGGAGGGAGAACAACTCAGTCACTCTGTTAGATATGAAAAGAGAATAAAACTTTGGGACAATGTTCTCTAATAGACTCCTAGGTACTTAGTAGCTTGTTCAAAGCATGAATTTAACTCAACTTGATGTTATGGGGACCTGTGTGCACAGGGGAAGATACACAAGGAGAACGTCCCTCTTGATGCCCCCACCATGGGAAGACATTCACCGATTTCCCAGCTCTCCGCACTCTCCAGTAAAGCACTGGAGTAAAGGACTGGGAGGCTGCTCCAGTACAGGGCAGGAATTGAGAGCTGCTGCTGCAAATGAGTGCATTTGCACTGCGGTGTCTGAACACTGTTTTGCACTTACAAGATTTATTTCTCAGTGGGCAGAAAAGCTACAAGATTAACAGATGAACAAATATATTGAGACAGCCAAGACATCGAAGAAATTGAAGAGTCACTAAGATGTTGGAGAGATGAAGAGTCACCTGGCCATGGTTCTTAGGAATTATTTTATCCTCAGATTAGCTCAGCTGTCTTGGGGTTTGGACACATCCTCTGGTGACTTTAGCTACAGTGACTTAAGACATTATGGCCTCAGCTCTCTTCTTCTCCTCCAGAGGATCCTGCCTCTGGAGCAGAGGCGGCAGGAGAAAATATGTGCCTGCATCCCAGCCACTGCAGCTCAGATCCTGGGGGCTTAGTGCAAGCAGAGTTTCCTTCAATTTTTGGGGTAGATACCAGCTTGTGAGCTGCACCACCAAGGATGAGAGCGTACTGTATCCCTGCGCAGAAATCTCCAGGGAAAATGTGGGGCAGACAGCGTGTTAAGCCACCGTAATGAAAGCCATCAGAGTGCATGTGCCAGAGGCCTACGGCTGTGTGCTGTGGCTATTTTTACCATAATGAAATTCTAACAGATATTGGAAAGGCATTTGTTGCAATTGGAAGGTCAGAGGGAATCATATCCCAGGTAGCACTATTTAATGTCAATCATTCTTTGCAAGATTTTTCTCCTCCATGCAATCTGCAATTCAATCAGGAAAAAAAAAAAAGTGAGTAGCAGCAGTCTTAACCTTAGGTTCCTCGTACAGGAACCAGCCAAGGGGTGATACCAGTGGAGGGATCAGAAGGTTTGTGTAAGCTGTAGCTTCCCTGCAGAGAGCAAACAAAAAGCAGCTCAGAAAGGTTGGGCAGAGGCTGCTAACCATGAGACCATGCTCATTCTTTGGGCTGCATATGCCTCAGTTCTTCCCTGGAATTTAGATTTAGTTGAGTCAGCCAGGAAATTACGGATGAGTTTGGGGTCTTGAGGGAAAGATGTTTGAAAAGCAGCAATATGAAGATACCAACAAGAGGGAAAATCATAACTTGAAAAGTGCCACACAGAGGGAACTGTGTCTTTGCTTTATTGAACTGTTGGCTCCAATAAATCCAGCCGAATTCCCTCAGTCTCCCATAATGTTGTCTCAGTACTAGCAGGAGTCCATTTAAGAATACACTTACTTGTACAAATTATTATATATGAAGAGTAGAGAAAGAGCTGAAGTGCCACTGCAGTAATGCAAGCAAATCCTAAAAGCTGCCCGAGTAAGCTCGGTGGTTGTGTGCTGCCCTTGTGCTTAGGTTTTGTCAGTGCTGCCTGCCCAAAGCAGTTGAAGCAGAGGAGTTTCTGTTCCAGTCTGCCTGCCTGCTTCACCTGGGCAGATCATAGTCTAGATTTTGTGATGGTACAGTAGATAAATGGTGATAAAATCAACTACGAGAATATTCCCAAAGAGGGAGAATTGGGTTTTGCTATCATTTTCCATACACTGAATGAGACACTGTATTATAAAGACGAGGCAAGTTTAATACAAGACCTATGACTGGATAATCAGCAAGGAAGACTGAACCTTGCGCTCTTCCATTTTTAGTCTAGTCTACCCTTGATTGGTTTAGAGTAGACTTGGTAGTGTAGGTTAATGGTTGGACTGGATGATCTTAAAGGTCTTTTCCAACCTAAACGATTCTATGATTCTATCTTACAGCATTAACCCCAACTGCCTGAACTAAAAGGTTTGGTTGTGTTAGCCCATGCTATAACAGGGCTGTCAGATCCTTCTGTGGTGTATCCATGGTTAGGAGGGGCTGAAGCACAGGGGAGCCTGGCTGTGAGCAGTGGGATGTGAGCATAGTAGTGGAGACCAGGAATTTTGGGGCCTTCAGCCTTTTTTTTTCTCATTGATTTCCTTATGCCCTTAAACCCTTCCAAACCTCGCATCTTGCATATGAGCAAGCTGATCATGGGGAAAGCTCTTGCACCTTGCCTCTCGTCCCAGCATTTACAGCATAGCAAAGTTCATGTGAAATGTTAGCAGATTGGATTTGTGATGTGTTTTACCACCCTGCATGAATTCTTTCTACTGACTAAACCAGGCGTGGATCTGAACCTCAGCAGGTCCTAAGGTGCCGTGCAATGGGCATTCAGGCTGTGCAAGATGACAGCCTGAGATTAAGCATGAATATTCAACCCACCAAGCTCTGTAACTCCCCTTTCTGTTACAGACTGGAGTCACCTACGCGCGCGCTGGTGATGGAGGCTCCAAAAGGCATCGAGATCAACGCCGAGGCTGGCAGCTTGAAAGCCACATGCAGGACAGAGCTCAGGCTGGAATCCAAAGATGGAGAGGTAAGCAAAGGACGTCAAGCCCTGCAGCAAAAACAAACCAAGCCACAGATCTGCAGATTTGTAGCCTTCTGAGTCACTGAGCTGCTCCATGTGAAACACTGGTGTGTGAAGGCACCAGTGAAGCAAGCCTTCCTAGCTTAGTTTCTGCTAGCAGTGATTGAACATATCATATGCAAACGAGCCTCACTCTGTGGCAAAGGCTGATTCATTATTTTTAAAGTGCTTGGATAATAGCATCTGTTGTTCAAGCAGATTTATGCGGCTGTAAAATACACAGTACTCCTAAATTCTTTGTTTCCTTGTCACTTTAAAACAAGATTTACTTGGCCAACGTAATTAAGTCTTTTATCATACATTTTTCTATAAGAGCTTAATTCACTATTATTGATCTGAAAAGCTTTTGTAGCTGATGTTTTCATTTTGGAAAGAAAGGGAACATTAGGAGACACAGGTTGTTGCGCTGGGGAAACTTCCAAAGAGGAAGAGAGAATAACTAAAACGGATAACAAAGAATGAAAGTAAAATAGGTGTTGAGTTAAGCCTCTGCTGGCATCTCAAAAATACACGAGCACATGGTTCTCATCCCCTCCTTCTGCCACAATGATGGAAGACACTGAAGGATGTGGCTGAGGAGCTCCCACTGGGGAACCCGCTGAGAGCCTAGGCAGGAGTGCCCCATTGAACGCAACCCTCCCAGCAACAAGGCTCCAGCATAAGCGAACATTTTCCTATCTTAGTGTTAGGTGTAATAAACAGAATGGGATTTTTATTGCAATTCCTGTTATTTCTAAACATTTGCATTTTAAGACGTTCCAAACCCAGATCAGGGGTGTCAACAAAAAAAACCCACCCAAAAAATATTAAAAAAAGCCCTACCTAATATACTACAATTGAAATCCAAGGCATTTCACTACTGCAAGCTGTTGTCTTAATGTTTTAAACACTAATTTGCTTTCAAAATGCATATATTGACCTGTCTCAGGAGATTAGATGGTTGGATACTAAAACTGAAGTGGAGACTCTTACTGTAATTGCAAGATAAGAGCAAATACTGTCAGTCACCCTGTAATATTCTGGTTTGCAGGTTATCTTACTGTGCTCTTCCTGGTAATGTTCGAGTACTCCCCTGTAGCTGGCACATGTCTAAGAGCTGCCACTTGTTCGCTTTTATGTTCTGTTTTATAAGGAGAAATTCAGGTCTGTTGCAGCATTTAAGTTATTTTTAATATACATAAAAGTGTTACACATATACATAAAATACACATAAAATATACATAAATGTCAGTACTGTGAGCCTGTAAGCGTAACTGGTGATGGGACCACAGTGGCAGAAGTCCCAGTGGAGGAGCAGAGTCGTCGTGT